AATAACAATCCCTCAATTGGCATGGCATTGATGGTTAAATTGCTATTCAATAAGAAGAGTAGACCCTTGCTTTGAGAATCAACACCATATTCACTACCTACATTTTACAATTAACAAGGACATTTATATAACATTAAAGGGAAACAATAGTCACCAGAGCAACTAAAGCTTAATGTAGTTGTTATGGTGTCCACTGCCTCTCCCTGCAGGCTTTTTAATATAAACACTGCCATTTCAGGGAACACCTCTAATTGCAGTCACTCAGACGGTCACTGTTTGTCAGTTCAAGTCGGAATAAAGGTCCAAATAATAAAGGAAAACATTAATTTAATACTAACATAAAGAGACACGCTAAGCACCATAACCACTATAGTTCCCTGTAGTGGTTAAGGTGCAATGGTGCCAGGAATGCTCTGGCCCCCCACGCCCATTACAAAAACAACCTTTCTTACCTGGGGTCCCCTGGGCACCACTCCCCGCCTCCACTACCTAGTACAGGAAGGTCCTACTTGGGAACTATTCTAAATTGGTTAGTGAAGGTGGATAGCAGCATCCTGTTCATCCAAGTAAGAAGTCGAATGAGGAATGGGGGCTTTAGGGCACTCTTGGTATAATAACCGTAACCGATGCATGTAGTGTTCATTTAATAAACTATAACATATGGTGTAGCAAATATAAGCAGTGAGGATAAATCACATACTACAGATGTATGTAATTTAGATTTTACGGGATGTATATGACTGACTACCACTGTTGAATACAGCTGATAGGCTGAGGACTACAGTGTATTTTTGAGGATGCAGTATATTGACTGCCCAGCAGAGACTGCACATTCTCATTATTAAATGTCCTAATACAGCATTTTTTTCTTACAAATCTCATTTTATCTTCTGCAAAATTTCAGGCAGTAAGTGATTGAGGAAAAACAGTCAGTCAATGGCTTCCCATTCGATCCTATGTGGGAATTATTAAACACGTAAATCCATATTAAATCACATGCAAACATGCTCAGTAATTGCTTATATAAATCAAATGAATTATAACTTGAATGTTAAATTGCTTTATATTTAAACCTATATAAATAAAGCTAGACTGTTCAGTAAACTAAAAGCCTGGAGTATCCCTTTAAGAATGAAGGCTATTTAAAAGCTGAGGTTATTTTCTAAGCTCAACATCATTTCCAAGCAGCAAAATTCAGGGAACATCGTGGAATTTACTAAAAACTGCCACCAAGTGTTCATTAAAGGGATCTCTGATACAAAATTGGCAAAATTGGTATTTATCCCAGAATGTGCTAATGTGTTTCTGGGCAATTTTGCTAAATTATGTCATAAAATATAAAACAAACAAGTGATGTCACAGACCTGTAGAAAGATTACCATGTTATTATGCATGACAGACATTGGCTCATGATAAAAACTAATTTGGCGAAGGCAAATTGTGGTTTACAACAGAAACACCATTGATTCCACTGCAGGATATGTGATAAATTCTAAAGAGAGAACGCATGGATCTGCACAAATCCAGAAACAAGCAAATATGCACACAGTGACAAACACCTATATACATTTAGGCATGCCATTTCTACAATGACACTTAAATTGATGTCCTACTTCCTGCCCCTTTCTTCAGTATGTGTAGCAAGCATATTCAGTGGAGACCCTGGCAATTTTTTACCAGCTCAGTTGCAGTCGTTTAGGGAAATAGTGGGAGAGACACCTCTATTGTCCTCTGCTGCCAGCCAGACATAAAATCACCTAGTTTCTCATGGGGAGACCCTCGGGTCCACTACTTACAAGCACACATGTATAAATATATCACTCCAACAATAAAAAATTTATCATGAATTTCCTGCTCACAGAACCACTGATTGCAGAACAGAAGAGGAAAAAATATGTCCCTTCTTGCCCAACCTTGCTAAACCAAACATTGATGAATACTGTATTTCAAAAGTTTATAGCTGAACAGAAAGCACGTGAAACGTGAAAGAAAGAATTAAAAGTATTAAAAATGTTAATACAGCTTTGGTATCGTAAATGGCAAGTGCAAAGATTCACATATAACATTACAACATTATTTACAGCATACTGAGATAGCCTGAAGAAATATATTATAAGTATGACTAACACACTTAGTCGCTGTTACTATTTGCTATCAAAAACAAATGACATGGTCTCAATCGCCATGTAAATGCCTCGTTATTCAAAAACAATACAAATGTCCTACCTCAATCTTGACACAGGGATAATGAAATTGTAAAGCCCTATAAAATTAGAACCGGTTGAGTTTCTTAAGGTGAATGTAAAACCAGCATAGCTGTAAGAAATGATATTCTGCTATGTTTAGTTCAGGTTTAACCCCTTAGTTTGCAATGTAATTTTAATATTTTGTCACTGGTTAGAGGTAAGAATGCTCCACACCCCCCTAACTGTACTGAGAAATTTAGCCCAAGTGGTATTCACATGGTTTAAATCAGGCTTCCCCAAACTCAGGCCCTCCAGATGTTGCTGAACTACAACTCCCATGATTCTCAGCCTATCTATTTCACTCATAGAATCATGGGAGTTGTAGTTCAGCAACATCTGGAGGGCTGGAGTTTGGGGAAGCCTGGTTTAAATGAACACATACAAGATGTATTCTTTTACAAAATGTTCTCTGTAGATTTCTAAAATGCTTCCTTTCTCCAAAAAAAGATTATTCCTAGGTAGAAATTGTGTGGTTGGCCCCTACCAGGAGTTGCGGGCAGAAACATTGATAACCGTGTATTATAGTTATTAGCCTTATAGCAATTGGATTATCTCCGAAAAAATCTCCAGTAGAGGAAGATCATTTGCTGTTAATCCTATTACATAGAACACTATCATATTTTTGTTTATCCTTTTCACTTCGATTGGAAAATGAGGCTCCGAACAGCAATACTGTGTTGTAGCTATCTTAGGAAGTAATTGACAAGGACAAAGCTTCAGTTCAGTATACGGAAACATGCAATTTCAAGGATATAGAAATGCTTTCTGGGATTTGTTATGAGACTTGCGGACAACTAAAGATCATATACAATATCTACATTGTAATCAATAACTGCAGGCAGAGACATCACTAACTGACCTCAAAAACTTCTGCTGGCAACCAGTGTGATCCAGATATCATTACGTGCCTCTACATGTTGTATTTACTTTTAGTGTGGAATGTCCAAGTCAAAGAAACTTATCAGAGTTTAAAAACAAAAATATGGATGAAAGCACTTCAGTAGTTATCACCACTGTTCTGTACAAAATCAGCATGAAATCACATATAAACATGCTTAGTTTGTTCAAATATTCTTTAAAAATGTATTTGGGGACCCTGTTTAAACCCTATTATATAAAAATATAAAAAAAGTCTGTTTTTTTAAGTTAAGGGGCGTTGACCATTTCAGTAAAATAACATTTAATAAAAGTCACATGTGGAAAAACGAAGTACTAAAAAAAAATTTAACTTAGAGTGAGATGGCGTATTGCTGACAAATGTAGAAGATGTGTGTTTCACAGTGATAACAATTAGATTCTAAAATGAAATCCAAATGTACCAACTTGTAGAGTCATGCTGCAGGAGACTGCTCACCAGTCATAAAGCAACTGTTTATATCCCTGTCTGTTGAAGCAGCTAAAAAGGTCAAACCTCTAACAGGCTACACAAAACACTAAACTGTAAAAGACTTTTCATCCTGGTCCCCTGCTGGTGATCAAGAACTGAAGATGTCACTTTCCTCAAAGTAAATAGAACACAAAATCAATTTAAGGAGATTGGGGAAGACAAAGCAATTGCTATTTTGGGACAGAGTGCTAAATGTACAGTGCATTATATTGATTTCCATGGCAACAGCTTCTTATTTAACACTTTGACCCAGAATATAACCTTTTTTCCTGTCTTGATAAACTAGCCTCTCAATAGAATAAACACAGGGCTTGTCTGCTACAAACAAATTGGGATGAGTCTTGCTATCCCAAATCTTTTACCCTCCTTTGCCAGAGTAAGTAAAGCCTTATTATATTCACCCCTCTGAGCAGTAGCCATTAGTATTTATTTATTTTTTAGGTACGAGTCTTAGTGTCACTGTGACAATGACAGGGACATAGATCACACAGCACTGCCAGACTGCCTTGAACTGGTGTTTCTGGCTATTGCTCAGCACAGCCACCAGTACCAGATGCTCTAAAATCAGCGAGCACTACAGAAAATCGCAGTGCAGTCAGAGATGTAATGATTCCAGCATTTGATCTGTCATATTCTTGGGAAGTGCTGACATAAGCTCTTATCACTTTAGCCACTTAGCATGTCACCAACTGGAAGGCACTCAGTCGATTGTTACCTGCATGGTAATGTGGCTTCATACATAACTTGGTGAGAGGCATGATTTGCAAAGTGCTCATGTAAAATGATGCATAACAGGAATTGCAAGCAATATGCTAACTCTATTGTAACTCTCTACTCTCTCCCTACTGGATTTAATGAACTGTAAATAGGGTTCTTATGCATATGTCCATTACTAGGGAGATATGCTATGCATGAGATATATATATATATATATTTATAATTTTTATTTATTTTTTTGGAATGATTTAAAATGTGTTCTCTTTGTACCTTAAAGTGATAAAAGTGAAATGTTATTTTATTTTCTAGATCACATATCTAAGAAGCTTTTATATACACACCCACTCATGTACATCTTTTAAATATATTGTAAAAAAAAAACAAAAAAAAAACACACAATGTTTTCCCAATAAACCTTTCAACCTCCAAAGTGTACTTTTCTCAAGATGGAAACTTTTCTTAAAAGGCATGATACATTGTGGTTTTTTTTTTGTTTGGTTTTTTTAATCTCACACCTGCATTGTGTTAAAGCAATACATGGTCTCTAGATCAGGGTCAAACTGAAAATTAAAAAGAAAAGTCACCCTACCATTGCAGTGAGGCTGCAGAGAAGACTCCCCAATTCATGTTACCACTTTCTAAGCACTTCTCTCATCCTTAGCTGGATCTCAGGGGTAAACAAGTCCAGGAATGAGGGTATCCTTTTCTATTCAGTCTAAGAAGAACACTATTCCGTCAGTTCTAGAATCTTCACATTTCTTTCTTGTAAGTCCCAAAATCCCAGAGATCAGAGATCACAGAGATAGATGTGTCCTTCTCTTCTGCTGCTGTGCCTTGTCTGTCTTTTTATGGTAAGGGAAGTTTATCCAGCTCTCACTTTCAAAGGACAAGTTGAGATACCTGGACGCTGGAGAGAAGCTGCTTTGCTCAGTGAAGCACTTTCTAACACACACAGATTTTCCCTTTCGCAGCTCAGCTCTGCCTTGTGTACACATTCATTCAGACAAGCAGCCAATAGGGAGCTGGCACTCATGTCTGCTACCTCTAGCGCAACCTGTCTATCAGAGCTCACACTGGCTGCTCCATAAAGGGAATTAGGGCCATTGCATCACTTACACTAACGGCATGAAGCTTAATAAACATTATTTTACTCACTCTGCAACAGGCTTCTTGTGAACTAAATATACATATTGTGTTTTAAATTAAACCTCATTTACAAGAAAAAAGAAAGTGTATGTATATATATTTTTAAGGGATTTTATTTTGGCAAATATGATGGGATAATTGGGTAATAAATCAATTAAGCTAGGATTTGTGGGGATTTGAAAATTTAGTTTAAAAATTGACTAATTGGGAAACTATAAAAGTAGATTTTTTTTTCAGCTCAGCTGTTTGTGTTATGTTTGCTATTAGTTTTTCAATTTACCATAATTCACAATTCAATGGATAAATCACAGTGGTTAATAAGAGTGAAATATTACTTTAAGTCTGTGAGGTTTAACCTGTTAAAAAAGATTTCAAGTGTTAAAAAATAAGTATGGTGACTGCCCTGATTTTCTACACATTCTCACATGCTAAGCTTAGGGACTTGTCTACAGGCAGATAGATTTTATATTTTTTTTGTGCTATTTCCATTTTAGTAGAAATGGTTACATAGGAGTGCATGATTAGTGCACCTTGGTCTCAGAAATAGGTCTGGAATTCACTGATTCACTGACTGTCACATTTTATGTGTTTATAATCATATAATAAAGGCATTTTTTTAAATTTGTATATGTCTTGTAATTCCTAAAGTCTGATTTAAAGTAGGGTCAAAGCCACTTCATTTATATATTGGAATAATTAAGTGATTTTTAGGCAGTTTAGCTTTGTCTTTGTCTCAACTACTGTTTGGACCTTTCCTCATAATTCTCCTGCCCTAGACAAACTATTACTAGTTGTATTAAGGTGGGTAAGCATCATCAGCGCTCCGCTACGCATATTTTGGGTGTATCATCAAAATATATTCGCAGCTCTTAGAGCTGCACTGTCATGCCGAACTTACCTTTCTCCTATTGTTTCCCAATCTCTTACTCTCTTAGAATTATTTTCTTCCTATCTGATCTAGTTTCTTTAAAACATAAGACAAACTTTGTCTTATGTATTCTTCCTACAAATGAAATTCCAAACCGAACAAAATGCACAAATTTCGTGTAACATGAATGGACAAACTTTCGACATTCTGTTAGGAGGAAATTCAGTTAGTTCACTGGCACCCTGTCTAAATAACAGGATGTTCGAAGAATGAATGAAGCAACCCGAGAACACGAAGAAGAGGTGAGTATTGTGGGAAAATTTCTTTGACCACAGGAAATGGAGCGGACTTAAGCTCCTCCTTCGGTCAAAGAAGGTCAAGCGTGGAAAAAATACGTAAGACAATGTAGTCCCTACTTTGTCTTATGTTTTAAGATCAGATAATAAGAAAAAAAGAACAGATTCTGAGAGAGGAAGAGAAGAGAAAACAATAGGAGAAAGGTAAATTTGGCATGACAGTTAATTTAACTTTGTTAATTTTTGTGTCGGAGGAGCATGATCCTCCCATGGAACTCCTAGGAAATCTTTACCCCAACAGACCATCAAAGATGATAGTATTTATTTTCTTCCTGGAAAATATCTATCTATCTATCTATCTATCTATCTGTCTGTCTATCCTGATGTCTTGATGACAGTTTTTTTGTTAAAACTGAAACTTTGAGGAAGAGAGGAGTCTAATCAATTTTGCAATATGAAGGGGTTATTCCCAAATATGGCAAAATTGATGCCTTCACAAATTTTACTAGGTCGGCCTAACTCACTACAAAATAAGAGTAATCAAATATTGTTATGGTTCCTACTATGAGAAGAAATGCCCTTTTCCCTGTTTTTGGGAAACAGACTGAAATTACTACAGTGTAGCAATGGATAAATGGAGTAGAAGATGTTAGCAGTATAGAAGATTTGCATTACTCATCCAGAGTAGATAAAAATAGATATCTGAATGTTTGGGAAACATGGATACGTTATTGGTCCAGAGATAAAAGGAAAGATTCCCAAGCCCCCAGTAATGCAAATTGACCATACTTGATTATATTGGGATTAGGGGAAATTTGAATATATAAATATATATATATATATATATATATATATATATATATATATATATATATATATATATTATTGTATGTTGTATTTTTATTCATGGAGACAATAATTCCAAGCTTGTATTATGAGGTAATTTTACATGCATTCTAGAAATGTGATATTTAATATAATTTACTCTCATAGCAATGAATATAAGTGCCAATATAAAGTATAATGTATGCTTTATATAAGATAAATATAAATTGTACATTTATTTGTATAATTTTAGTGAATGCTTATTGTATGGATATATGCTTGTGGAGATGAAATAAATCTAATTGCAATTAAGAAAAAAATAATTGTGTCAGCTGCATTTGATTTATATGTGTCACCATTTATTGGACTGCATTCACTGTTTCTGCCCAAGTTGGTAAATTAACATACTTGTCCAAAATACAGTCAACAAGCTACCAACATTATCTTTTGGATGAATGAAAGGTCAATTTGTTTTATGGATAAAATTGCCATTTACTGTGTTGAAAGTGCGGCTGAAGCTTTGTGGAGAAGTATATAGGCAAAAACTAGTTGCCCCCTATTGCTTTCTATGGACTGTCTGACAGACCAAAGTGGGCATAAGCAAACAGACTTATCTGTCTGAATGGCTGACATTACAGTAATACTAAAAATTACTAAAATAAAAATTACTAAAATACTAAAAATTGTGGGAAGATTGCATACAGCCCCTACCTCAGATGCATACTCAATATATAGACACATAATCTCTCTCTTATGCATACATACAGAAATAATAAATAAGCTAGACATAGAGAAATAAGAATGATTGAAGAGAGAAAAACTAGTAAGACGATAAAGATGAAAAAATAGACTGAAGGGAGATACTAGATATACGAGTGGGTGTTTAACTGGATTTTTTGGTGGTAGTAAGAATCCCTGAACCAGACTTTAGGGATACTTTTTCCAATTATTATTATTATTATTATTATTATTATTTATAAAACACCAACAAATTCCACAGCACTGTACAACGATTCTCTTTTTAAAATCGTATTAAAAAAGTGTTCCTACTGTAAAATTGGTTCCTTTTGTAAATTGCATTAGAACTCTAAATTCCACACTACTGTTGGTAACTGCTGTGTTATCTGTGTTATCATTTGTAGCCCTGTATATATTGTGCCATAGGAAAGCATTGGGCTGTTATTGCGTATGCATCGCAATACGACAACCTGCACCAATCAGCATCTCCTCATAGAAATGCATTGAATCAGTGCATCTATATGGAGAATGTTCAATGTCTCTATGCAGAGTGTGTAGATGCTGAACGCCAATGTGCAGCACTGGACTAGGATGCACCTCTAGTGGTCTTCTGAGTAGAAGTGCAACTTGACTGCAATGTGAACACTGCCTTTTCTCTGAAACCTAAAAACAGCCGAACTGACAAAGTTGAATATCAGTATGTTGGATATAATCCGTACCCTGGTCAGATCAAAACAATTTACAGATTATTGAAAACCCTGACAATTTGTTACATACTTATTAAAAATAACCATCTTGGGAATTCCTAATAGTTCTCCGTTTTGTAAATAGTTTTGTCTCTGAATTAAGGCAAACAAAATAAAATGTTTTAATTAAAAAAAAAAAAAAAACACTTGTAATGCAGCTATATTCTCATCTAGATTATTTTGACCATGATTCAGTGTTTATATAATGTTTATCTAAATTAAAAATAAATAGTAATATTTAGCACAATTAATGGTTTATATTTGAAACTAATTCACAAAATACATCATCTTCAAAATAAGACTGCGGCAGTATTCTTATATATGAATCCAAAACCGGAGCTCCTTTAAACTAAATCTATCTATCTATCTATCTACCTATCTATCGTCAGTAAAGTTACTTTGATGGCCTACTCACAGGGGACCAAGAGTGTCACCGCCAAGGACTACATTATATAGGTATTATAGCTCAGAGAGCATAATATAGTGTTTATAGCTGTAATAGTAGATTCACCCCAAGCACTAGACGAAACTTATTGCAGGGTAAAGTAGAACAATTTTTATTGCGTGAATGACACACTTTTATAACTGCGTCCTCAACAGGAGGTTCACAGGAGAACAATACATATTGCAACATACCTGGAGCCTAGGTGTCCATACTTGACCAGATAATTTAATTAATGGCCAGACATTAGCGCCACCAGTTAAATCCTAATAAATAACAGGGTTCCCGTGCTCATATTCCTAAACAAACGCCATTCCTGGAAAGCTCTCTTCTGAGTGCTCAGATCAGAAGTGGCTGTCCAGAGTTAGCTGGAAGTAAAGTTTTGAACGGGCAGTGACTTTCCTCCGATCTGGCACAGAATTTCCCAGCAGAATCCTGCGCTTTCTATTGGTACTTGAAGCTCTTTCAAGTCCTAGGTATCATTCAATGCCTCACCACCTCCACTATTACCCATCCGAATAGTGCTATGATAGGTGACTCTGGGACCGAGAGCACCATCAACAAAGATTTACGGGAACTGCAGGCAAATCGGTGATCCGATCAGGAGTTCCAGAGGGTTTAGAGGCTGCTCCCAGTCAGGAGCGACGTGCCTCTATGAACTCCCTGCTGGCCTGCGATGACTCTTGGGCCACTGGAGAGGGCACTGGGCTGGGAGACATGGGCTGGAGAAGTAAATGTGGTGAATATAGTCCTTTTTAGAGGGAGGTGGTGGTTGGGAGACATTTACCAGCCCTTGGTGACCAGGTGTTC